TCTGGAATTCCCATTCTTCTCAAAGCTATGTGTAAGTTATCATGGTTCACACAGTTGCACAAGTAAACATCTTTCTGGTATTCTCGGCTTTCAGCCAAGATTAATCTGACATCAGCAATGATATTCCAGATATATGGAATATCATTTGAAATGTTTCAAAAATCTGATGAGGCTAACCTATTGGAAGAGATCCATATTTGTGTCCATTCCAAAGAAAGGTCACCCAACAGAATGCTCAAACTATAGAAAAATATGACTGATATCGCATCATTCCACGTCCTCTTCTGAAACCAGCCTGAACCTCTGGCAGCTCTCTGGCAACATGCTGCTGGGACCACTGGTAGAGGAAGGCAAAGGTAGAGAGTAGACAGGTGGTAGAGGGTAGACAGGTATTAACTTGAGTGATGAGAAAGCTAGTATTCCAGAGAGAGAATAGACATTTATTGTGGAGGGGAGGGTGAGCTATTGGGGACTTTGATAAGTATTCTAAGTTGTTGACTACAAAAAAATGATCTGAAATATAAATCACCATGTGTTTCACAATTTAAAACACTTTTTTCAAAAAGAATGTTAAACAGCTAATAAGGGTCAGGCTTAGTTCTTAGGTACTGAAAACAACAGTGACTAAGACAAGTCCTAATGAAGTCCCCTGACACAAATGATAGAAAAGAGAGAATGTAGATCCCATCAACAGTCTTTGAATAGCTCAGTACTTATTGAAGTTCTAGGCCCTTAGTACACACACACAAAAGACCCAAACTCACTGTCACCAAGTCAGTGCTGACTCAAAGCGACACTAGAGGACAAGATAGTGCTGCCCTGGTGAATTTCTGAGGTTGAAACTCCTTAAGGTCGTAGGAAGCCCTGTCTTTCTCCCAAGGAGCAGCTGGTGGTTTCAAACCACTGACCTTGGAGATCGTGGCCCAATGCATAACCCTTATGATGCCAGTGCTCCACTTGGTACACAGCAGTGAATAAAACATACCGTCACTCCACGGAGCTTAGATCCAGCAGGTAGACAGGTGAACGTATAAACAAGCAATCAGACAACGGTGTGTCTTCAGAAAAGATATCACATAAGGTAACACGTCGCCGTGATAGGCAGGGAGAACTGGTTTCGAGTGACCGGGAAAGGAAGGTCTCCTTGAGAAAGAAATGTCAGCGTTGACAACTCAGAGGCAGGAAGGATGCAGAAAGTCAGGTGAGCTATGGAAAGAGCAAGCAAAGATCCGGGAAGAGAAAGACATGAGGTATGTCGCAAGGACTACGTTAGAAGGGCCGCTGTGGGAAAAGTAGAGTGAAGGATGGATGCAGGTTATTGGAACTAAAGGGGTCAAAGAATGGTGAGGCGGTGACGATGACTAGATCATTTGTAAGGTTGCCAACACACTTATCAGCACACCCAGAACTTAGATGAGGTAAGCAGACGCAATCAAATGCCAAAGTCCTTCAGGGAAGATAACTATGAATGATTAGAGGGTTCCACCGGAAATAAAATCAAAAGTAGCAACATTATTCAAAATGAATAAGGCAAGAGGAGTCCTTTATGAGAGTCAATAAGCAATTTTTACATAGCTGTGTGGTGCTAGAAAAATGTCAATAACCATTACTGAGTCCTAGGATGAATGCTTGAGGAATTCCAACTTCACAGGTAAAAGTGACGCAGAACAAAGGGAAAAGGCAGGTGGGAAGAAAGATCAGCACATTGTGATATCGCCGAAGCAAAACGAAGGAAAAATATGGTGGGCAGTCTCCAGTGCTGCTGACAAGTCCCTTCAGAATGCCCACTTCACTTGACAGGTGGTGGGACAGTTCCTACTAGCATAGGTTGGGCATGTGACAAAGCACAGGTGAAAAAATGTTCATAGTTTGGGCAAGAGAAAACTAAAATGATGTTCCCAACAGTAAGCTCAGAAAGAAAGATAACGAAGGTGGGATGAGGTTGGTGACAAGAGAAGGGTCCGTGGACTGAAGGTGCCAGACAGAAGAGAGGGGAGCAGCTGGCAGATGGCACAGCACTGGCAACTGAAGCAGTCACTTTGGAGGTTACATGAGTTTCAGATAACAACGAGATCCAGGATGTAAGCATTGGAGTGAGTGGTCGGGGTAAAGGGGAGAGGAGATAAGGTCAAGGAGTGGTTTTCCATCTAACTATAAACGTCCAACAAGATGGCAGGAGCGCCCTGGGTAAAAAGGGAGACTGGGAGCCAGGTGGCAAAATCTTCAGTGACTAAGGCATGACGACGGGGTGGCCAGAAGATAACAGCATCAAAGAAGAACTCTTCCCTTCCAGCAGATAGCAGTTGAACCATCAGAAACAATTTAGGTGGTTAAAAAGCGCTAGCTCTAGAACAGGCAGGTCTGCACAACATGCTGGGCCTGCCCCCTTATTAGCTGTGTGACTCTCTGATTTTGAGTACATTACCTACCTTCTCTGGATCTGTGTGTGTGTGTGTGTGTGTGTTTTAATTTGAACTAAAAACAATACAAAGTATACAACCAAAGGAGTTTTGGGATGGCACAAATTACTAAGAGTTCAGCTCTTAAGCAAAAGCTGAGTGATGTGAATCCACCCAGAAGTGCTTTTGGAAAGCGGACCTGGTGGTCTCTGTCAGAGCGAGCACAGCCTTGGAAAGTCCCATGGAACACAGTTCTCCCCGCGCACACCCGGGGGCTGCCATGAGGCGTAGTTGGCTCGTAGTTGGCTCAACCGCAAGTGGTTGAAACTACAAAAGGCAGAAATGTTTTGGTCTCCAAATGTTAGAAAGGAAATTCAATTTTAGGAACAAATCAAGTTTTAAAAAGAATAGTTTCTTTCCGTTCCAGCATAAGAATGAAATCTAAAACAAACATAACTGTCACCTGGTCATTCAACTAATCTTTTGGAGAATATAAAAAGTAAATAACCTTGTCTCAAAATTTCACTAGGGGGTGAAGGCAGAATAAGAGAATATCTGTATCAGGAGCAACTATGGCGCTGGATGATCCCATGAAGACATAGCTTCCCAACCTTATTTGACGGTTTGCCCCCTTTAAAGTAAGAAAGGAAAAAACAACAACAAAAACTCAGCGTCCTCCAAAAAATGTTTGTACTGATGTGCAGAATCCAGGATCAAGTGTAGGTATCTACTTCTGCATCCCCGCTGGATTGTTCCAGGGTACCCCAGGGAGTGGGATGACCCACTTTGGGAACCAATGATGTAAGACAGCCACCAAGTCCTCAGTGTGGATGTCACGTGACTGTTGTTTCCCACTTACAACTGATTTTATATTCACTTGACTAAGCTCCATCTTACAAGGCAGTATACTCGCCCCACCCCCTAAAAGCACTTGACAAGTCATGACGGAATCACAGAATGCGTTCTGCAAGACTTAGCTTGATTCATAGTCTGCCAGGCTCTAATTCCAATAATTCATGTAATTATTCACTATTAGAGGAAAAAAAGCAGAAGCAAGAATCCAGGTAGACAGAAGTAATCAACCAGCCACAAATGGGATTCAAGAAAAATATTTGTAATAACTAGAAAATTTCCACAAAACTAGAAAGTGAGATCCACAATTATATGAAGGTTGCCATATTTTAGAATGTCAGCAATGTGCCACCCAGAAGTCATGAAAGAAAAAGGAATAAATAATCCATTGTTAACATTTACTCTCACGGGTGCCTGGGGAGCTGAGAGGGGCCCCGGAAGAGCCCTGGCTGTACACTCAGCTGCTAATGATAAGGTGGGCAGTTCAAACCCACCTACCAGTCTGCCGGAGAAAACTGTGGCAGCCTATTCCTGAAAAGGTTCCGAAGCAACCAAACCTGCTGCCATTCAATCACGCCGATTCAGACTCATGTTGTTCTTGTTTGGGGTGCTTTTGAGCCAGCGACCTTATGTAAAACAGAAGAAAACACTGCCCCCTCTTGTGCCATTCTCACAATTATTCTTATATTTGAGCCATTGTTGCAGCCACTGCATCAAGCCATTTCCTCGAGGGCCCTCCTCTTTTTCACAGCCCCTCCACTTTAGCACGCACGATGTCCTTCACTAGGGACTGGTCTTTTCCTGACAATATGGCCAAATTACATGGCAGGAAGTCTTGCCATCCTTGCCTCTAAGGAGCACTCTGATTGTACTTCTTCCAAGACAGATCTGTTTTGTTTTGTTTTTTCCATTGGCTCTCCAGGGAACTTTCAATGTATTTGAACTAACACCGTAGTTCAAATACATTGATTTTTCTTTGGTCTTCTTTATTCAGTGTCCTACTCTTACAGCCACATGAGTCGATTGAAAATACCATTACTTGGATCAATGGTATTTTCCTTAGTCCTCAAAATAACATCCTTGATTTTGATACTTTAGAGAGGCAACATATTGACTTCATACAATAATTCAGACTCAAAGCAACTCCCCAAAGGGTTTCAGAGACAGTAAATATTTAGGAAAGCAGACAGCCTCAACTTTTCCCCAAGGTGTGGTTGGTGGGTTTAAACAGCCAACCTTGTGGTTAACAACTCAATGCCTAGCCCACAGTGCCACCAATACTCTTCATAAAGATCACAGCCTTGTAAAGCTATGGGGCAGCTCCACCCTGTCCTATAGGGTGGCTGTGAGTCAGAATCAACTGGATATCAGCAAGTTCATAGGGTTGGAACTTTGATCACACACTTGCCAAGATTTCAGATTCATTTATGACATAGTACTTTGTACAAGTGCCCTTATCTGAACCACACTCATAGTGGCTGGTCTCTTCTTTCCACACTTCTGAGACGACCATTAGGAGAGATGCTTGTCTAGATAAATGAGCGGTGGCTACCTGATCAATTAAAGAATACTGAAATCTAAGTCAGGATGGGTAGTTGTTGAGACTCAGGCCATGTGGCAAGCTGTGATTGAAATAAACTCATTTTACTTCTTCTCTCCAGAATATATTTTCCATGTAAAATTATCTTCTAGGTAAAGGTAAGTCAAATTTCCAAAGCATTTTAAATTGTGGATAAATTCAAAACTCACCATGGCAAATACACTGACAGTTGGTCTCTTTTCTTTCTTCTCATCTTTTTTACTGGAGAAATATAGAAACAAAATTAATAATACAGACTTTAAAAAGTAACAGTTTTTAATTACCAAAATAACATATTATTTATATTATTTAATAGTATAGTATTTAGATTATAGAGCTTTAATGACAAACTGGGCAAAGAAGGATATATACAAATATATTCAGCATAAAATAGATTTATAATAGTTTATTTCCATTTATAAAGTTTAGATATAAATGTTTACATATATGTATGTAGCTATTGAGATTTCAATCAACGTTTTCTTTATTGTGCCTTTCGTATTTTTACATTTTCTATGATCAACACACATACACACATACCCCTCTTGCAATTATAAAAACGTATGTACTAAAATTAAGTTTCCTGTTTGTATCTCAATTACAAAGTCATTCATGTTCATCGGAATTCGTCCCCTAAATTTTCATCCGAGTCATTCTAAATGGTAGATTTTTCTACCTATACCCCACCTACATGTTATCCAGAATCATTCCCTCTTCTAATGGAGAGTCATAATGATCTGATTTGGGGCTAAATGAAAAGTAATGAAGTCACCCTTAAGGAGCAAATTTAATTTAGAAAGGATGTCTGGAGCTATAAATGGGCTATTATGCCAATAAATGCAGTCCAGAGAACTATGGTAGAAAAGCGATGTCCCCAGGCATAGAAAAGTCAACTATTATTTGAGACCAGAGTCAAATGAATCTAACTCTGTAACACATGTTTTCTACCATGTGTTTCTTCCACCAAGGGCAAGAAAGTAAACCAACCAGACCAGACCAGCCATCCTCATTTATATATCCATATTCGTAATTAAAGCCTATTTCACAGAAAAGTAATTTCTACACAGATTTTTAAGTTGAAAAAATAGATCTATCCTTTCCTTTGTTCTTTATACTACACAAGGCTGGTAGCAGTGAAGTGACTTTGAAAGAAAAAAGTCCAGAGTAAGCCCACATTTGGCTTTGGAGTCATGCTAGGCAGTCATAAGCCCCCACAAAATAGACAAACACAATGCTTTAGGTCTGGCTCCACCCTGCTCCCAGTAACATGGTTTCAGTATCTCTGGAACCAGGATGAGAAGAGAAAAAGAGCCATAAATAATAGCGTTTTAGCTCTTAGCTTTTTATTTACACTTCATTTCTCTAAAATTGGGGCTATTCTAGGAAGTTACAAGATTTCAACACTGGCTAAGTAAGAACTTCCCATGCATGATTCTGTTTACAGTAGTCCTTTAAACAACTCTATGAGACAGGTACATTTCTGTCCTTTTGTGGAATAGAAAATTGCAGATAAGAAAAGTTAACTAGTCCAACGTCACACACCTAGAACAAGGACAAGTGCACTTGTCTGTCCCCCAGACCACAAAGCTCTCCTGAGGCTTCTGGGATCAAACACTGAAAGAGACTGTACCTCCACACAGACTCCCACCCCTGCAAGGTCATTCATCCCCATCCCCATCAGCTTGCACCGCAGTGCTTACAAAGGTAAATTGCTCCAACATCATTTTAATGATGAGCCTTTACAAAGACAGATGATCTACATGGTACTGTTATACCAGGATTACACATTGTAGCCAAGCCACATTGCTTTAAAATCCTTTAATTTAGTATCTATAGCTTTAAGAATAGATTAAAATCCAAAGTGATGTACATAGTTTAATGTTTAACTAAAAACTAAACATTTAAATACTTACATAGAAATACCTCCTAGTTTGGAAAAGTCTGTTGGTCATGATAAGAAACAGTAATAAAATGAAGATGTGTGTAAACTTTTATGTTCTTTACCATTTAACTCCACATACACTCGATACTTCTTACATCGAAATCTCTATTTGTAAAATTAAACACACCATCGGTTTTCAGCTGTGAGTCAGAATCTACTCAATGGCAGTGAGTTTGGTTTTTAGTTTTTCTAAATTACTAAGTTTATAAAAAGAAAAATTAAAAACAAAAAGAGGGTCAGCTATCTTCCATTAGATAGTCTTTTTCTTTATGGGAAATCTTTATTGTGAAAACTTTTCAAATAAAAAATTGGAGGAATATAGTAAATATCTGCATCTTAATCATCCAGATTCAGCCATATTTTCTTTATCTGCATAAGCAGACATGTATTATTATCGTTGTTATTGTCTGGCTGAATCATGCAAAAGTAGCTGGAAAGTATAAAGGGGTCTCATATTATCTTACCATTATGACATCTAAAAAAATCAATAGCAATCCAATATCCTCGAACATGCCACACATTTTCCAACAGTGTTTTTTATAGGGCTTTTCTTATTGAAGCCTGATATAATGAAGTTTCACACACGATGTCAAGCTCTTCAGTCTCTTTTAGTCTAGAGTTACCCTTGCTTCTTTTTGTTTGTTCATTTGATTGATTATATGACTTTCTAAAAGAAACCATTACAGTTCTCTTACAGAATGAGAGTTCTAGATCTTGGATTTGCCTGTTTCCTAAAGGGTCATTTCATTTCTTCTTTCATTCCCTGTTATTTACTACGTTGAAAGTTAAAACCAGAGCTGTGATGTCCAATAGAGTCGACACCACCCACACGAGGCTATTAAGCACTTGAACCGTGACTAGGTCAGAGATAGGCAATAGATATAAAATACACACCCGATCAAAAGACTCAGTATGAAAAAGGAAATGTAAAGTATCTCATTAGTAATATTTGTGCCAAATATATATTGAAATGATAGTAATTTGGATATATTGGATCCCATAGACTACATTTAAAAAATTAAGTTCACTTATTATTTTATACCTTTCTTAAATTTGATACCAGAATGTGTTTGTATTAGCCCTTGATTTTTAATTGGACAGCACCATTTAGAGGCTTCACTGGACAAATGTTTTTTTGTAAAACTTATTCCCTGGTATACCTCAGTACTATTACAATAAGAGCCCATTAATATTAGGTCATTCGACCTGGATGGGCAATGCCAGGTCTGAACAGTTGGTGCTGATTGTAAAATTTCATCACTGTAAATGCATATTTCCCTTTTTATAATAAATAAGAATTTTAAGGCTGGGAGAGAGAAATCCCGCAATATAACCTTTTTCTGAATGATTTAGCATCCGTTGATTATACTCACCATTGATTATGGCTCACCTGAACAAATTATAACTGCAGGTTCTAAAATAATAGAGCATTCCTGGATGTTTCTCTACCTCTTAACCCTCTTTCTGTCTCCTCCCTTCTCTTAGAATACCATTAAGGTACTCAATATTCACAACGAACAAGTTATTACTATTTTTGATGCTCAAATGTCCTAGACTTTCAAGGCAGGCCCAAGTGTACTTTTGACAACTCCATTTGAAAACTCAATTTCCTTGTTTTCTGGTACTACAAGATAATCCTGGCTCACTTTGTATTTTCTCTCTCTGAGACCTAGATACCATTTCTCTCTCTAGTTCTGGTTCGTTTTAGTGAAGAATGGTACATTTTAAAAGCCAAGACATGGTCACTAAGTCAGCTCACTGTTAATGTCCCTTTCTGTGGACCAGTACAGAACCGTAAAAAAAATCTAAGTGCACATTGAAATTCCCAATGAAAACATAAATGTAATATTACTTTTTAAAATCTTGTTTAATTTCCATATTTGTATTTCTTTTCTCATACACTGAAAATGTTGCCATATACAAATATCAGTATGATCAACATTTATTTTTTACCTTACAATTTCCTACAGACAATGAAGCTACTGTGAAGTTTCATATTTCCTGTATAGACCACAACATTAAAAAAAATAGTTCCCCCCCCCCCCCTATTTCATTACATTGCCCATTCCCAGGGATTCTCAAAGCACCTTCAACTAACCCGTTTGGTAGTTCCCAATCTCCCCCTTTCAAGAATTCTTTTACAAGTGCCAGACATTAGTTATCCTGTTAAAAATAAATAACACCTAAATATAGCTTTGGCCTTCAGCACTTGTCGTCCACAAACACGCGATGTTTATGTGGTTTTGCTTTACCAGAACCATGAGACTAACTCAAAGAGCACAGAGCAGAAAGCTGAGCGTGCAAAGTCGCTTGTGAAACAAGTTAAAAAAACATACAGAAAAGGATGCCAGAAGAAAAAAAAAGAAAGAAAAAGAAAAGGATGCCAGCATTGGCCTGTCTAGGGCCGGCGAGCTAAGGGAGGATGTAGTATATACTGTGTCCAACTCGGCCCTGGGACTTCTGCTCCAAGCAGGGCAACCTCTTCCCAAGGCTGGTTTTCTTTTCTTAAAAGAGCTTTTCTTAAAAGAAGAGCTAAAAGCTAGCAGCCCATCGTCTCTGCAAGTCATTGAAGCTAGGAAATGAAACAAACCGGCTACCTTTTCTTGCCCAGTTCCAAGCTCCCTGCTCTTCCGTTGTGGCCCCCTTCAGCATCCATCGGGCCCTGCGGAGAAAGTGCAGACGGTTAGCACGTCGGGGCCCCGCTTCCCACACCGAACCGGGCCGGCGCGGAGCCCGG